AGAATTATAATTAATTTATATTATATCATATGTAGGAGGCATCGATGTCGTATCCTGTCGTAAGATAACCCGTCGAGAATAAGTGAGGAACGAATTTTTTTAATAAAAAGAAGAAGACAGATCATCTTCATGGATCACTGGCTTGTATCCTGCTTCAAAAGCGATTGCTGCTCGGCGATTGCTCGGAATTGGATGCGTCTTGTCTCTCCGCCTTTCTCGCCGGGCGGTTTGAAACGAACGTTTGTGTGTTCAAGACGCCATTCTAGCTGGGGCGATTTATAAATATACGGAGAAAATAGATTCCCACACGTCGTGGCCGACGATGCCGGTGTATATCCTAATGCTCGCCGGCCGCTCGCGCGCTCTCTCGGGGATCGGGAATTCCACGAGTTCCGCTTCTTACGCATTTTCTCGCGTCGCTCATTTTCCCGCGGATCGAAAGGTAAATCGCGGGATATTCATCCGAGGCATTCGCGGAATTTTATGATTGAGTCTTTGGCAATTTATATGATATCTTTCTCGAATCACGCAAGGACCCAAGGTCCTGTCGTAATTGTTCCGCGAATTATTCGTCAATTTTTTTTTCTTTTTTTCTGACGTGACATTGAAGCGTCACATTCCTCCGATCGTCAATTTTAATTTTTCTCGCTCGTCGTTCATCGATTAATATTGAAAACGATGATTCTAAGAAGGACGAGTGAAATGAATCTCTCTTGAAAACACGTTTCTCCCGAAGACACCGACACATTATTCTGAAGAGACACGCGTCTCCTCGATCTTAATTAATAAAATAATCTCTGTCTTGTCTCCGCAGAGTTTTGCGGGGGAGTACCATTACGAAGACACACAAGCATACGAAAAGATTTTTGCTGTACTGTTTATATGCATGGGGCATCTCTCTCCTGGTGTCGATCCTGGCCATCGTCGCCGATTCCACGGACGTCCTGCCGGATTATCTGCAGCCCGATATTGGCAGTAGGAGATGTTGGTTTACACGTGAGTCACTTACAATACCGATAACTGTTTGAGATGATGTAATGCAAATTTGTCAACGTTAATTACCGGAATTCCCGGAAGGACTACCGACCTTGTGAGAAAAGAAGATGAGGCGCAGCGGGTCTTCATTTCTTTGCGCTTTCTCGTTATTATTAATTTAAACATTGAAGATGAATGAAGTCGAGGATTGAATTGCGAAATGAATTGCAGTCAGAAAATTCAGTTGACCGGAATCGAACGGAAGGCAAACGTTAAGTTTCCTTTTGATCGTCCGTCGTGCCGCAATTATCCGATAATTAAAAAGTTTCTCGAGCAACTTTATTGATCGCGCTAGAACAAATTCAGGCATCATTGCTCTTCGATATATATAAAATGTAATGGAACTATATAACTGTTCGCGTAATAAGTATCATTTGTATCGCCAAAGTAATTGCACTCAATAACAGTCAGCGAGTAATAAACATTCTTAACGAACAGTCGTTAGAATTCAAAGCGAAGATAAAGTCAAGGTCTTATCAACGTTTTAGATTATTATCGAATCATATTTTTTAATTCAGTTCTTGTTTGTTAATTGCTCTTGTGTAATGAAGTATGTAAAATTAGTTTTTTTTTTTATGTACAAAAATATTAAATAATATAAATTCAATGAGAGAACAATATTTTTGTACTTACGTTACAATTTTTTTCACGCATGAGAAATATTTTTTTTAAATCCTTTAATTAAATATTACAGCAAGTTTGAATTCATACGGCGAATTAACTTTCTTCATCGGACCAGTAACGATTCTGCTGATATCCAACGTGATATTCTTTATTCTTACGTCAACGCATTGCAATAAGGTGAAAGCAGAGATAAAAAGAATGACTACGGATCCTGCGGATCCCAGAAGCAAACGATTCCATTCCGACAGGAAGAAGTGAGTTATTCCGCTTTTTCGTCAGTTCAGCGAGAACAACGATTTCTTCTTCTCGTTTACAGAGAGTTTCGTTTACAATTGTAAACGAAAAGAGATACTTTGGCAGTAAAGTCCGCAGTTAGTGCATGTAAATTTAGATCGCACGCGTGATGATTTTGGAACTTTTCAATTTTTATCACCTTCATTAGAGCGTCCTTTCCTCGAAACCATATCTTAATCGGGACCTACACAAGAACTCGATGAACTCGCTGTCTATTTAAAACTAAAACTAGAAACGCGGCAATAAAATTGTGTGTATTCGGCGCGTTTGGTTTACATACATCATTTACTTCGATGATGAGAAAATAGTCGGTCGGTTAGTCGGCTACGTATTCTTTTTTTAAATAATCAACTGAATTCAGTCTAGCAAATAATTACCTATTCACTGTTAATTACAATTCCATGAATGGGGAGCGCTTAATAAACAAGCCCTTTGTGATGTTTACTAACGAACGCAAGGATTAAAAAGTATCATAAATGTAGCACAGAATTTCAATTAAATCTGATTGCTATTTTTATCAATGCTCCTCGTTGTTATTTACTTTATTGGGGTATTATTTCACGAAAGAGTCGTATATCTTACTTTTTTTCCGACAGATTTCTCATGAACGTCAAGCTGTTCATCGTCATGGGGATGTCCTGGAGCTGCGAGGTGGTGTCGTTTTTCCTGCTAAAATATTTAGACTATGAGTACTGGCACAACGTGTTCTTCTACACGAGCGACGTCTTCAATTGTCTCCAAGGTCTATTGATTTTCATTCTTTTCGTCTTGAAGAGTCGCGTTTACCAAGCGCTTCGCAAGCGATTGGGTTTGGATACTAACGGTAAGAAGAAGCCGACCGGCAACGCCACCACGACTTTACAGGATCCTTATAGAGTCAGAAAAACCGCAAGTAACACTACGTTAACGACTACTACATTCGCAATTAGTTCAATGCCGTAAGGTAACAACTTGAGACTGTTTAGCACGAATGACTTATGTCTTATTTTTTTTTTTTTGTGATTCCTTTTTTCGTCATTTTTTTGTATACTCGAGTCACGCTCTTTCTGACCTGCGATTATTTCAATTTGTGCGTTCTTGTCAGCTCAAATAAATAAAAATCCTCCTGCTATCAATTATTTTATTAATATAATATAATTAATATAATATATATTTAATTGCTATTTTAATAAACTAATGAATGTAATAATGGCAAATTCTCTCTTTGTTAATAATCATAAAGGAATTATTATATTTCAAACAAGATTAATCTACTATTCTGGGCTAATTTTATTATCCTCTTGATAGCAGGAGGGTTGGTAACTGACAGGAATAATTGCGTTTGATTGGACGATCTGGTGTCACGCAAATAGTGGCATGAATAGAGCTTGACATAGGATGATTATGTAAAAAATTTAATAGTTTATTTTAATAGCCTATTTTAATAATGGAGTTTTCTACAACTGCTATTATTAATTATTAAGAGATCCTCTGTTAAGGAGATGTGAGAAGAATATGAGATTCTGAATCGCGAACGCTTTTCCGAATATTAAATTTATCTCTCATATAAAAGTGATTATAAAATATGTTATTAAGCTACCAAAGAAGATTCGGTTATCTTTAATCGTCACAAATTATGAACGACATTTTTGCATATAGACACCATAAGGGCACACTATACTATCGTATAAAGTTGAAAAACATATGTGTATAAGCGTCGTTGTTTAAACATAAAATATTTCCTAATATACTTTTGCGCTTGTATATTTGTGTTAGGAAAATATTTTGATATACGCGCATTTGACACTGGAGAAAGTTTTTTAACTTTACATAATGCATTTTAAGAGCTATTTCTCAGTACGAGCCACTTCTTTTAAACGACAAATTAAATAATATTAAACAAAGTAATATTCTGAAATAATTGAACACAATAAAGTATTGTTCTCTACTTGAGAACTTCAAGAAAGATTTTAATATTTTTTTCAATCCAAATATCAGAATAGCATATCTTCTTTATCGTGCGCGCTATTATTATTAATTATTTATTATTTAAATATTCTTCTTGATAAGAATTGGTGGGAATTGAATAAAGAGAAAAAAATCCGCGGATTTAGCAAAAATTGCTTTTATTTTAAATGTATATTCAAATGGAGTTTAACGATAAAATTACGATCTTTTGTAACAATATATCTCCTGGACACCATGCAGGTCCAGGATGTATCCTTAGACGCGCGCTATCGTCTTAAAACCAAAACCGTCGAGACTAAACTCTCGTGCTATTGCAAAACTTTAATTTCGCCTTTTCTCCTCTTACTGGGAAAACTTCTTAAAAAAAAAAGGCTAAGATAATCACAAGGCATAACTTTAACTAGCTGGCGATTCTAAGGCTCGCACTCTCTCACGCAGCTCATTCCTTTTCGATATAAACGCACGCTTAAAATCGTAAAGTCCGTTGTAAACTACGGCCACGACCTATGCGAAACGATCACTC